ACAATGAAGTTCGAATTTATTATAAAAATAACGAGATATTTAAAAAAGCTTCACTCAAGATCAATCGAATCTCTACATTTTTATATTTTTTTGCATTCTCAATTATAAAGAACCTTTTCTCAAATAAAAGGTTTTTTTGGAAGCAGTGAATACATAGCAAAGCAAAGCAAAGCAAAGCAAAGTAAAGCAAAGCAAAGCGAGGTTCTTTTAAAGAAACTGATACTTCCTATACAGTGCAAAATTAGTGCATATGTGGAACGTAGAAATAAATTAACTAAATTAAGAATTAATTTCAAAATTTAGAAAGGAACGGTGGCACGAAAATATTAATGAACATTAAAAAAGTGGGAGATATATACATTAATTAATGTTTGTTAAAATTACTATCTACAGTTAAACCTCGTTTCAACCTAATACTAATAATCACAGGACATTTCCCGCAGATCATAGCAAAATTCGAATTTACATAGTAAAATTTTATAATCGAATGTCTTCACACCCTCCTCGTTTGACGCACTTGCTGTGTAGCAACCATCACCAAATTTGAGATATAACTTCTTTATCATATTTATCTGCTTTATGAAAAAATTTTAAAGTAGGTTGTTAATAAAACCAAAAATAATCAGACCCTCAAAGCCAAATTTTGCCTTTATATTCATATACGTAAAATTTTGTTTGACGCGTCCAATTGCAAGTATAAGTAGAAATAAATGTCCAAATATTACATTATTATGAATATTTGCAGATTTTTGATCATTTAGGTATGTCTTTTATTTATTTTAAAAGCAAATATAGATATTAAAATTTTTCTTTTACATTTATTCCTATATACATATGTAAATAATGATTAGAACAATAAACAACAACAATAATGATTAAATTTATCTCTGAATTTATTATTTATTTATCAAGTGATGTTATTAAATATAAGTTATAATATAAGTTAAAATAAAAGAGAAATTTATATAAACTATTGAATGATTGATAAAACGTTCGTTAAAATATTTCGCAAGCTTCATAGATCTTGTCCCTAAAGCTTGTACAAACTATTGAATAATTGATAAAGCGTTCGTTATAATATTTTGCGAGCTTCATAGATCTTGTCCTTAACGCTTGTACAAACTATTGAATAATTGATAAAACCTTCGTTAGAATATTTTGTTCATAGTCCTTAAAGCTTGTACAAACTATTGAATAATTGATAAAACCTTCGTTAGTATATTTTGTTCATAGATCTTGTCCAGACTATTAAATAATTGATAAAACGTTCGTTAGTATATGTTGCTCATAGATCTTGTCCTTAAAGCTTACTTCGATCACTCCTACACAAACTATTGAATAATTGATAAAACCTTCGTTAGTATATTTTGTTCATAGATCTTGTCCTTAAAGCTTACTTCGATCACACCTATATACAAACTGGATCTTAAACTTTATTATCATCCCCAAAAACGATGATTCGTTTCGTCGTTACTATAATTATAATATTATTAATATTATTGATTGATGGATCTTCGTACATTACAAAATGTAACCAATCAAATCAATCAACGAATTTTATCTTTAAATGTTTCCTTTTAACTAAATAAAATATATAATAAAAATTAACAAAAAGAGGGGTCATGTCACGAAGGGTCAATACACCCAACATGAGCCACTCACGTGAGTTCCACCTTCCGCCACGCGGGACTTTACAGCCGGTTCAAAGTGAGGAATTACACCTAAGGGAGCCGGACACAGGGGACCTTATCTGGTACTCATGATTGCATGACTTTTCCCTGGTTGATACAATTTTACCAATTCTATGACTTGTATATCAACTTTTTTTCAAGTTGTGCAAAATATGGGATACCAACCATTTTACAATATTCCATTGGATAAATTTGTTCCATGATTTTTATTGTTTAAAAAAAATAAAACTCAATAGAAAAAGTAGACTATTAAATACAAGATGTATGGCGACATACGAAGCTTCCAAAGCAAGTTTGTAAAATATAGTGATCAATTATTAAGTTTTGCAAATGAATGTTTCATCAATTATTGAATAGCTTGTATCGAATCAAGTGTTAAAAGTCAAGATCTATGAAGCTGTTTGTAAAATATATTTAATCAATTATTCAAATAATTATATGGGCGGGCTTGGTCGTCAAGACCTATTTGCAAATCAAGTTTCCAAAAATGAACGTTTATTATTATAGGCGGGATTGATCAAAGTAAGTCTTAAAGTCGAGATCTACGAAGTTGTTTGTAAAATATATTTAATTAACGTTTCATTATTATCAATTATTCGATAATTATATAGGCGGGATTGATCAAAGTAAGTCTTAAAGTCGAGATCTACGAAGCTGTTTATAAAATATATTTAACGTTTCATTATTATCAATTATTCGATAATTATATAGGCGGGATTGACCAAAGGTCGAGATCTACGAAGCTGTTTGTAAAATATATTTAATTAACGTTTTATTGTTATAATTATTTGATAATTATATAGGCGGGATTGATCAAAGTAAGTGTTAGTCAAGATCTATGAAGCCTGCAAAACGTATGTTTATCAATTATTCAATAATTGTATAGGCGGGATTGATCAAATTAAGTGTTAGTCAAGATCTATGAAGCCTGCATAACGTATGTTTATCAATTATTCAATAATTATATAGGCGGGATTGATCAAATTAAGTGTTAGTCAAGATCTATGAAGCCTGCAAAACGTATGTTTATCAATTATTCAATAATTATATAGGCGGGATTGATCAAATTAAGTGTTAAAGACAATTTATACATTTTATTTATTATTTATAAATAAAACAATAATTAATAATCATTAATGAAAATTTAATCAATATAAAGTCAGGAGTATAAAAACAATCATTAATAAAATACCTTTTAGTTTTTGCTGAATGCCATCATAAAATTCTTCATGAATATTAAAATAGTTTTCGTGAACCTCTCTATAAGTTATTAACCAATAACCCCATAAAGCAATGACCATATGAAAGTTTAAAGTATTCTACACCTTCTCATTTACTATCAAGTCTTTTAAAGCGATATTGAGAAATAATCTGAGCTTTGAAATGAAAAGGTAATACCGTTTTTGAATGGCTGTGAATTCATGGAGAGAAGAGCTTTCGATGTGAAGAAGTATTCATAAGAAAGCTTTAGTGGAGTACTTTCATTTTACTCTAACAATGAAGTTCGAATTTATTATAAAAATAACGAGATATTTAAAAAAGCTTCATGTGACACGAATTTCGAATTTTAAAAATATCCTTCAATGAACTTACTATTACTTTTTTTACATTTGATATATTTTTCAATTTTATTAACCACTAACTACTATATTAATAATTTTTAAAAGTATGATTTAGATATACGAAATAGATTGATCATTCAACTCAATCAGGTGACTTTTTAATGCAATTAAAAATAGAGATTTTGCAAAGCCAGATTAATTTAGACAGTATGTATAACTTAGAACATTGAAATCTTTGGTTTTCTTTCCCTTTATTTATAACAATTCGACTGTACTCAAAAGTTCTGTCACTTACTCTTATTTTAATAATCGTTTGTGTTAGTTAATTCTTTGTATTTATTAAAGATAAAGGATTGACTTTTTACAAATTTACAAATCTATAATAAGAATAGGTAATTTCATTGCAAGTAATATAATAAAAATCATTGGTCTTGCTTGATATAAAACTATGAGATAACAATAAAGAAAATACAGTGAATGCAGTGCAGTGAATAATAAGAATTGTTACAAATTATGGATTTTTACACAAAAGTCACGTAGGGTGCATTTCATATGAGTGCCGAGACACATAGCGTGCACTTATAGAGGGTGTGCATCCATGGCAAATGCATTTATAATTAATTAATTAGTTAATTTTTAAAAAAGATAAATTATACATAGCCACTGGTGAAATTGCAGTCATGGATGGAGTCATAGAAGCAAAGGTTTCTAATCAGAAAAAAAAATTTAGTTATTCCTAATATTTCACATAGTGATTTAACAATAATTATTATTGGTGCAACAGAGAAAAGTGAAGCTCGTGATGAAAAGGAACATATCGGTATGTAAATATTGGTGATGTTAGCCAGTAGAAAACCTTAGCCGGCTAGGAACTTTGATAAATCCCAGTTGATGAAAAAACTTTACAGATGATAATAGGCTTGCCGGTATTATTATTACTACTACTATCGTTATTATTATTATTGTTGTTATTATTTACTATTGTTATATCCTACCATTATTACTATTTAAAGGTTCGAATAAGGTTTGTTCGAATTATTTGTCATGAATTTAAATATTCGAATTACATTGAAAGTTTATTTAATTTTTTTTTTTTGAGCAAATGTATGTTTTTTTGTCGTTCCAAATAATACAGATGGACCCATACCAACGAAGTGTCTATGCCACCAAATTCTACATTAGTAAATATTAATATTGCAAATAAATAATTACCATTTAACATACAGTACAACTCTTGTTTCGACGGATTATAAACAACTTCGCGTTCCAACGGATTTTAAAAATCTTTGTTACTATTACACATTAACATTATTATTATTATTATTATTATTATTATTATTTATACTAAAAATCCGTTGATTATAATTATAATTAGTACTATTACTAGTACTAGTAATTTCGTTTCAACGGATTTTAAATGAAACATTTTTATATGTCCAGCCACTCTGTTGAAACTGTATAATGGCATGCAAATAATTTACTGATAAATTTGCTAATATATCATCAAAATCGGAATCTAATTTTAATAGACAAGGTAAAAAAGAAGAAATAACCCAGAGGGTAAATACAGTATAATATATACAACAATATTTTGTATACATGTTTCTATTTTCAATTCCCTCACAATTAGATTCATTGATATACACAGAAAGAATTATTATTTATTAAAAATTTTTTTTAAAAAAAATAAATAAAAGCATAAAAGCATAAGAGTATACACATGTATAATGAAATAAGAAAAAAATCTTTATTTATTTAATTCACCAATATATTTAGCCCATAGGGATTGTGGTGTACTAATAACAAAATCATCCTCACACGTAAATGTAAGTGGATCATAATAAATATCAGGATTTAATCGTTGTTGAGCATTGGTTTGATGATTATAGGTTGAAGTACAGCCACTAAACAGTATTTGTTGGTAACAATTATCTTCTAAAAAATTTTTAAGAAATCACATATATAATATTGTATTATGTATGTGTTTTTCTATGTATATATTATTAATATGATGTGTTAATATTTACCTTGCAGATCGTTATTATTAAGAGGATCCAAAATATATAAATTACGGCTATCAGCTATTAATTCAGGCCAACAACATTGTTTAATGTCATAGACAGTATTATCAGCAGCCTATTAATTAAGAAAAAATAAATAATTATTTGAGACAAAGAAAGAATATTGAAAAAAAAATTTTTTTTTACCTTTGATTTGTTTCTGGTACCACATCTACGACCTCTTTTTTTGGGATTTTCATCAAAAATACATTTCTCATTTGTTTCAATACACCTATTGCAAAAAAGAGAGTCATCTTTCTTTTCACACCTTAGACGTGCTTTACGACACGGATTGCATGCGATAGAAGCGTGTTTTCGCTTTTCGTAAGGATGTTTTTGTGGTTTTCTTCGTTGACGACGTCGAATCGGAGTAGTTTGCTGGTCTTTTTGTGGTTGTTGTCGATGGTGTGAATGTGTTTGATGTGATTGAGATTGTGAATTTGTTTGGTATGTATCTGAACATGAATGATTTGGTGATTGTGAACTTAATACAGGTTCCTGCGAGTACGGTATTTGATTATTATCCAATGGTTGCGAATTTATATTGGTCAATGAATCTATATCAACTAAAGTCCTACAATGCACATTATTACTATTTAGCTCATGAGATGGTAGATGTGATATTTGACCCTGACCTAATGATATATCAGTCAGTGGATATATATTATATGATGGATATGATATTTGATAATCATTCAATAATTGTAAATTTTCATGAGTCAGTGAATAATGACATGGTCGGAGCGAATCCATTTTTTTTTTTAAATAATTGTTTAAATTTTTTTTTAATAATTGAATAAAATTATTTTTGTAAAGAGAAATTTTGGTGCAATTTTATATCCAGATGAATTAAATGAATTCCATAAAGTAAAGTTCTTTGTTTAGCCCTGATAACAATTTGTCATAGATGCTACTGAAAATCTCGACATAAATATAAATACCGCCAATGAGGACTGAAAACAAATTATAGAGACCTTTCTTTGAAGAAATTAAAGATTTCCCGATCAAATTATTCGATAGGAACTCTAAATTCAATATTTATTATACCAATTCGGGCCAACAACATAGTGAATAAATTCGCTCAAACAAGAAATTGTATTACAAATAGAACCTTCCTAGAAGAAAATTTACCATTTTTGACATTTAATATTTTCTTAAAATTGGCACCGTTACAACAAATCCCATTGATTTAATTTAAAATGAGGTGCAAATGCAAGAAGCTGGAAGATCCAAAAATCAAGATATCTCCGAAGATAATTAAAAAGTTATTGATGATTCTAATAATAAATCAGGTTATTACATTGCCAATATTACCAAAGAAATTTACCATTGCGTAAAGATCTACCAGACGCGTGGAAGAAAAAAGATTTTAGAATGATGACGATGATTTTGATAAATTCATTTGATGCGATGGTTATATTTGGGTTTGATTGACCAGATATGAACAATATATTGATAAGTCCTACTTTTTAATTTAGGATGTTGTAAATTTAGCATCCCTTTAACAACTTTTTAATGCTAAGGATGGAGAAACTACTACACGATTACAATTAGTTACTGTTTATATAAAAGCTATTATAATAATTTTACAATACAATCAATAAATACAATATAAAATAAAATAAACATGATGATAACGATGATTTTTAATTCAAAGGCGAGATTTTAATTTCCATCTTAGAATTAGGACGACGATTATTTTCAACTAGTCCCAGCTTCTTCAACTGCTTTAATCCTTTCTCTAAACATTGAATCCACCACATATTTGTATTTGGCACTTGGCTTTGTTTATAAGTTCCTCAATTTCAGAATTACAAACCTTGCAAGCGTTATCATTACTTATTATTTATGTAATGAAGAAATGTTTACAAAAGCCCAACATTTTTTGTGGAAGCTAGGGTTATTTCCTGCGGAGCAAAGAGCAACAACCCATACAACCAATTGGAGTTTCGTATCCGAACACTCCACCCAAAAATAAGTTTCATAGAATTCCATCACTACGACATAAATAGAAATATCGATAGAATTAAACCAAGACCTCAAATTGGTATTTTGTAAATCAGCAGCAATATATTGATTGATTAAATTTACCACGTGAATCGCCTGGGAATAGAATTTCTATTCCGATAAATTTTATTTTGCTATTCGAATTACATTGAATGATTATTCAAATAACCTTTTTACTCGAATCAAACAAAATAAGAAACCTCACAAAGAATCCCTTTTTTATATTTACTAATAAAGTTGATATACTTTTCCTAACTTGGCAAAAATAAAATACATTTTGTTGTTTTTACTTTTTACCGTTGGATAGTGAATTCCGCTTTATTTATTATTATTATTTTTTTTATACAAAATTACATTGTCAAAATAAAATTTTAAATGAATAATAATTCAAATAAGAAATTGTATTACAAATGGAAGCCTTGGCTGGATGCTGTGTCATAAAAATATATCTACGTGAAGATGAAAATCCAGAAAGTTCTACCTGCCAATGGCATCATATAAGTAGTAATCTTAATAAAAAATTTTATTCTAAACATTAACATATCCAATCAAGTGCCTGATTTTGTATTTTACCCACCACAATAACAATAATCTTGTAATTTAAACATCTCTATTACCCCAATTTGGCCACCATTGATGACTTTATGCTGTCCTTCACTGAGCATAATAATAAATTTTATTTGGTTTTGCCAAAGTGTACAATTTTCTATATGCGGGAACACCGTTTAATTCATTAATTTATGTTTATGACATTTCTGGAGACATATTAAAATCAAAAGGAATGCAAAAGAAGATTTCAATGGTTATCATATAAAAACAATAAACCTTGTTTATTTTATTATTTATTACATAAATGAATAATACATAAATATTGATTATAATATATAAATGAATATTGATTTTAATATATATATAAAGTTGTGTATATGTGAAATTTAAAATCTTATAATTAAAAATTTTTGGATATGAAATTCTGATTGGCTGAAATGAAATTTATGAATTTGTAACATAAATAATATTTACAAATAAATAATTTGATTATATATATATATATATATATATATATATACAAATAAATAATTTGATTATATATAATATATATATATATATACAAATAAATAATTTGATTATATATAATATATATATATATATACAAATAAATATTTGATTATAAAAAAAACTTATAACATAGGAGATTTTTCATGATGATCATCATCATCATCATTATTATTTGGGGCATGCTGCAACAAAGTGAACACAGTCAGTAGAGATTCCGTACAACTTTCAATTCCGTACCGTATTTTTTTTTGCTCCGTACATTATTATTATTATATTTTTTAATTTTGTACGGAACGGAATTTGTGAATTCCGAAAAGCTGATTGGTGGGGGTCAGTTTGTACGATCTTTGATTTTTATTTTTTAATTTTGTACGGAACGGAATTTGTGAATTCTGAAAAGTTGATTGATGGGGGCCAGTCTGTACGAACTTCGATTCCATATTTTTGTTCCATACAGAGCATTATTTACTAAGAGGCGCAGATGTACGGAATACGGAACCTCTATGAAAAAAAATTTTCACATTTCAACATGGCATGTCCCTCCCTAATTAGACAAATTCTGACCTATTTTGCATATATTTCCGAATTGGGTTAGCGTGCTCTAAGCAAGAATGAAATAAAATCCATTGAATATTCGGTGAATACTTGGTTAATATTATTAATTGGGATTCTTGATTTTTCATTGATTGATTGACTTAATATAAATAATAAATTAAAAATGAATGAATAACTGACAATCAATATCTCGTGTACATAAATGAAATTCTCCCACGCCCAAATAAATTCTCGCTCAATTCGCCTGTTCATTTCTAATTAATTAAATCAATCATTTCGTCTCCATTTATTTAAAATGCAAGAAGAACCTTCAGTAACTAGAATAGAAGAAAGCAATAATACAATAATGGAGGAGAGGAGTCTTCTTCTGCTCATATTTTGAAGAAAGGATAAGTTAAGTTGAATGATCCATTCTTCCCTATAAAAAAATAATCCGTTATTTGAATTTTGATTCCACCAGTTGGCAAAGTCCGTCATTTCCCCTGTAATTTTTCCATGATTATGATACGTTTCCGGAGAAAACGTGGATTTTAAATCATGGATCAGGTTTTTTTACAGGGCCTATGGTGGGAACATAATAAAAATAGATTCCCTGTTTTGTCAAAGT